CATATATATACACATTAAATATTAATTTCTCATATATGTGAATAATAAATAGTGTATATATATATATATATCAAATATACACTATAAATACTGAAAATATTCAGCAATGATGCATTAAAATGATCAAAAGTGACTACGTTATAATCACAATATATAGTGATTAGAACTTAATTTTATAAATACATTTTTAAAATAAGCTTGTATATACTCATAGAAGATAGATACAAATTATTATTCAGAAATGTACATACCTTTATTGAACTGTATGTCTTTGATACAATAAATGAACAGAATTATATAACATTTTTAAAGATGTGTGTGGGAATACTGGGGTTATAAGCATGTGGTTTTTATCATAACAGTAATTCTCTGCAGTAAAACTGGCTCGGTAAGAAACACAAAGCAGGGTGTCAGCATTATTATAACATTCCTTGGAAAAATGAAACCAACCCATGCAAGGCTTCGGATAACTTTGGCATTGACCAATAGCAAAAGCGCAAAAGCAGTCGACAAACCAAGCTGCTGTATTATACATGTTGAGGCGCATATTTACTTCTCAGAAATCTTGAAATGAAAAAGAACTGCGTTGATTTATATCAAGGAACACATATCAAGTTTGAAATCTTCATTTTAAATATATAGCTGCTAAAAATGTCACAAAAATATTGTCAGCGTGTGATGGATGGACATTATGGATTTGAAATAAAAGCAGTCACTTCAGCTTCATTCTGGTGTGGTCACTGTGAGCCATGTGTATATGTAATCATAAATCTATGATTTCCTTCAAGGATAACACTGTTAAAAATATAAACCTTCCTCAAACTTGTTTTATATGTGAATGTTCATGATGGGTCATATTTCATGAGTTTGGTGCATGCCATTTGTGCCAAATGTTGACAATGCAAACAAACTTTTCATACCAAAAACGGTATTATTTTTTAATTGATTCTAAAAGGCACATTTCAATGTTGCTCCAAAACCACATTTGATAAAACCTCTTGGATTTGCACATGAATCTTCTAGAGCAGTGGTTCTCAATTCCAGTCCTCGTGATCACTTCACATCTCTTATCACTTCAGATGTTTGTTCTATTCGACCATAAGTGCCCTGCCAAGTGGACATCACAGGATATTCCACCATGATTCCAGTTCAAAGGGAGCGTATATGTTCCATTCAAAGTGCGCAAGACGTGAATTTAAAGGGCCCCTGAAATGCTTAGAAACAAGCAGCGTTACTCTGTGTTGACGTCATTTTAACTGAAACAGGAAGACAGGGCGGGACATATCAAGCAGCCCCACCCCTTTTTAAAATAGCCAATAGGTTGTTTGCACATGACGTCACTGATGACGCGCAATGCAGCTGGAGGTCAGGAAGTGATTTTTCTCTCCATAGGAATCACTAGCAGAAACGCAAAATGCCAGTGTTTTGCGTTGTTTATGGATGCTTAAATTGGCCAAACCGAGAAACCACAAGAAGCTTTTATCGTGTACGAAAATGTGTTGTTCGTAAGTGGGGAAAAGTCAAGAAATTGATTGAAAAACGCAGGAAAAAGTGGCTTGTAAACCTGCGTCTGCGGTCGGGAGGAGCGAAGCTCGTGTGATAATGCTCGTGCGTGCAAATGGTTATTATAGGATATTTACACTGTTTGAATCGTTCCCTGTCCCCTATATAGTGCACTACGTGCCATTCACTATACAGAAAATACCGTACTAATTCTGTGGCCAAGTGACCGATTTCAGCCGCGATTAAGACTAACATATTGATACTAACACCCAAAAAACTTGAATTTTGATTTCATGGGGACTTTAAGTATTTTATTTACAGAGGTATATTATGTCACATTTCACTCTTCTCTAGTAAGTTTCGTCTGTGTGTGAAGAAGCTGCAGGCAGTGGCATAGCACAAATCCATGAATGAATGTTCCGAAGTGGAGTGAACTTCAACAGATTTCCCGTGCTCAGGGAGAAGGGAGCAATGAACACTGTGTAGAGAACACAGTTCAAGCATGGCGCTCTTTTCTAACAAGCTGCTTTTCTGAGTGAGGTGTGTGTTAAACAAGAGAGACATGCATAAATGCAGAGCTGTGGTACGTGAGTTCTAGAATTGAGAACCACTTTTGTAGAGTTTACGGACTCATTCAGTGTCTGAATACATAAACCTCATGCATAAACCCAATCAACATTAAGCCATCTTCAGTAGTGGAATATGAATGAGTCCAACTGCGGGTGACACATAAATTGAGATTTTCAAAAAAAATTCAAATCAATTTTTCTGGTTGATTTGGGTTTATGTATATATTGGGAATTATTTTTTAATATGTAATGAACATGCAAACGTATAAATATATAATATTATCACCCTTAAATATGAGTTACCCGAATGTTCTTAAACTTGAAAAGACAAAAAAAAAAAAAAAAATTTGAACAAAATTCAAAGTTTGAGACACCGATTATATTGCCAGCAAATATTATTCACATTTGTTCTGCTCAACCTGAATGTTTTACAGCTTGTTCGTGCCAATATTCAAATGAGTCCACTTCCTTCTTTATAATTACCAGAGATGGACCAAGTTGGTTGGAAATGAGTTCATCATTCATACAAGCAACAGGAAGTAACAGTCAGCCATATTTGTGTACTGTAAGATTTTCCATGTCAACATACTTCTGATCCACATATTCTTGGGTGTAAAGATAGACTATTGCAAATGCAAGAACTCAAAGATTAAAAACAAAAGAACAGGAAAAGGCATTGCATCAAACATTTTGCAACCGTTCTTCGTGGTTAACATCCCTAGGCTCGAACAGAACAAGTGACCGCTCATATATGCATAATTATTTAATCGGAAAATATACTATGGCCATCTGAGAGGATTTCCTGCATTATATATCCATGAGGCGTGAAATGTACATTAACAGTGAGTATTGCTTAATGTGTTTAAACCACTTTTAACATAATAGAACAGCAGACCGCATCGCTCCCTTCTTTCCTTCACACATGGACAAACGCCAACTGGAGAAGAGCAGTAAAATGGCTGAAAATCCTGAAACTTTGGGCTTTTTAAGAGGATACAATTGCAAAATAAAAAAAATCAAAAGAAAATAATACTGTATTGATCAATGATCAAGTTTTGTTTAGCATAAAATGCCCATTCTAAAAGATCGAGTTGTACAAAAGAAACATACTGAAAACTGTATGAAGTCCATATTTGCTCAAAGAAGTGTCTCAATGTATAAAAGCATTTCACCTGCAATCATATCAAAACCTCACTTACTAAATCCCACATAAAATGGGCAATAAAACAGCCTTGAGTTTTTGCATGACAGTTTCTGGCATTATTTTATATTTAATGACATGCAATGCATGGCAAAATCAGAACCAAATTCATTTCAAATCAGAAGGGTTTTGGTTACAAAAAAAATTATTGCGTAAATTAGCAATTATTGCGCAGTAATTAACTGTTGGCTTCCTCACAACCACGTTTATCTATTGAAGCCCTTTCACCGTAATCCATCCTCATTCCAGATGAAAGCTTTAAAGATGAGCCGTTTTCATCTAACAAACATCAAAACCAAATATCTACACCGCATGACTCTCCTATGGTAGTAACGTTTGATTATATTATTAAAAAAGAAAAAAAAACACAATGAACAATGTCATCAATGATAAGTATAACAAAAATGATATTCTTCTTTGCTTTAAAAATGATACATTGTTAGGAGGATCTTCTCATTGCACTCTCCATGCTTCTGATCTGCAAAAAACATTCTAAGGCTATTTACAAAGTACCACAGTCTTCAACTATACAACACTGCCATGCAAGTCTGCATTCCCCTCGTCAAGAGCGTCTCACTCACACACACACACAGGTATTCACAGGTCATCTCCAACAGGGACAAAGGGAAGTCACAATCTATCACCAGACCAAACGTTTTGGGATTGCTTGAATTAATTCAAAAAATTCTATATTTACTAAAATATCATCCATCTAGTAACACCGATGGAAACTGAGAACAAGTCTTAATCGCCTCTGCATTCAGCTCTAATGGGTTGAATCTTGTAAAAAAACATCTAGTCACATTTCACCCTGAAATAAAGAGACATTATATTTTACATTAAAATAAATGAAGCTTATTTTTTAGGATATTTTTTCTTTTGCATAGTGACATTATATTTTCAACATTTTTTAATCATTATTATTTGACAATTAAGCACACCCACTCCCACTACTGTAATGCACTTTAAAGTTTTCATATTTCTCATAATACAGTAAATGATTCTGTATTACAGGAACAAGTTATTGTGAAATGATTCATACCAGCAAAGACAGTATAACAAATATTTCCTTATAAATATTATTTAAAAAAACACAATATATTAAATGCACTGTATTTTAATATTTTACAAAAGTTTTATACAATTTTTATTATTATTATTACATGAACAAGAATTAGGGGCTAATTGCTGTTGAAAATGTTACAATGCAAAAGAATTTTTAAAAAATCCTAAAAATAGGCTTTTTTTTCTTAAAATGTATTACTTCTATCTTAATTTCAGGGTAAAATATCACCTAGACTCTTTTTTCCCCAGAGATTCACCCAATAATCACATTTTTGGGACAGTATTATTGTAGACTTTGTGCAGAGATGCCCTGAATCGTACACGCCAGGGGACGGTAGCGTTTTGAATCTGCGGTGTTACGTGACACCAATAGGCTCCAAAACCTGTGGAGTATGAACAACCGGGCCGACATGCAGAACATTATCCACCGCACTCAGCTGTTCTGCAGAGTGACAGAAACCTGAGCCCTATACACAAGTCGACCGGTTCTCCGCATGCGCCCGGGCATCCCATTATGAGTTCTCATCACCCTGACTGAACCGACATAGTAATCAGCTCGGTTTTCAACCAGAGTGACAGCCGTAAGAGCTGCAGTAATGGAAGAATTATCAACAAGGCTTGAACTAGGTATGCGTCGAGATTATCGGAGACTTTCCTCAATGCAACTCAAACATTATAAGTTGCTTTGCACAAATAATTTGTCCTTGACACAGTGTAGTTGATCGAGGGTTCACTTGAACATTACGATGGAAATGGAAGCTCATAAGTCAAACCAAAAGGGACAGAGAGACGGCATGGGGGTCTTTGGTGAAACCGTTTTCTAGATGATCAAACTGTATTGCATGGCAAAAAAAACATGTAAACAACAACTTAAAAGTGAAATGCTTTTGCAAACAAAAACAGAAGTACAGCATGTCGTCAATGTTCTTATGAATACAAATAACACAGATTATGGTTGATTATGATGACTGGAGAACCATTGTGTTGGCATAGTACTAAATGTTCGTCTTTGGGCTGATGACACTAATGAAGGGGACCATTTTCTGGAAGACTAGAGTGACTTGGCTTCTGGATATTAACAGCATTCATGACACGTTCCTTCATAAACTGGCCTTCCCTTTACATTACAATTGAGAAGTATTGCAAAGAAAACAGGTTGATTTGTTTCAGTCAAAGGATGAAGAGTCAGGCCATCCAATAACATTCTGCATCTGATTGGTTGAGTACAGTGGCTGGATTGATGCAACCGTGTCAAGAAGGTACAGCAAAACAGGAAGAACATGTTTGTAATGTGAACAGGGAAGGGGAAGTGCATTATTCGAAACAAAGAAAACAATACACAAATCAACATCCTCAGCCTCTCCATGTAAACAACTGCAGTGACCCCTTCTAAACACATAATGCCACAGGACCAGCGAATGACTCAGACGGAGAAATGAAAAACAGATATCCCTTCATCTTCACGACAGGAAACGTCTTCTTTGGGCTGATGACACTAATGAAGGGGACCATTTTCTGGAAGACTAGAGTGACTTGGCTTCTGGATATTAACAGCATTCATGACACGTTCCTTCATAAACTGGCCTTCCTTTTACATTACAATTGAGAAGTATTGCAAAGAAAACAGGTTGATTTGTTTCAGTCAAAGGATGAAGAGTCAGGCCATCCAATAACATTCTGCATCTGATTGGTTGAGTACAGTGGCTGGATTGATGCAACCGTGTCAAGAAGTTACAGCAAAACAGGAAGAACATGTTTGTAATTTGAACAAGGAAGGGGAAGTGCATTATTCGAAACAAAGAAAACAATACACAAATCAACATCCTCAGCCTCTCCATGTAAACAACTGCAGTGACCCCTTCTAAACACATAATGCCACAGGACCAGCGAATGACTCAGACGGAGAAATGAAAAACAGATATCCCTTCATCTTCACGACAGGAAACGTCTCAATGCGTCCTCCCCGTTTATCTTCCGTCTTTCCTGTCCCGAGCCGCCCCACGTGCCCTCAGAAAAGCAGACTCTGCCGTTGAGATATGCTGTTGACTGGAGAAAAAGAAAAAGAGGAAGTTTAGGCAAGATAAACGGACAGCGTTCAGTGGCTAAATGGTGCATGCAACATTTTGCACGATAAAACCAAATTGCACAACCACTCATAAGGACAGTCAGAGGGTATAAAGGGTCATAAAAGGGAGAGAGAGAGAAAATCAGCGCTCACTTCACTTAGGTTAATTATGCAGAACTTTAAGGCTTAATATAATTTAAACGGATGAGTTATAAAAAAATTCACCCCCCTCACAGTTGTCATGAAGGGCAAAATTAGCTATATAAACCAAAATCATCTTTTGAACCAGGCTGTAAACATGTTTTTTTCTGCTGTAAAGTTGGGCATTTTAACATGGGGTGTCTATGGGATTGACTCCCTTTTGCAGCCAGCCTCTAGCGGCCAGTCGATGAATTGCAGCTTAAGTCACTTCCTTGTTGGCTTCACGAGAGAGAGCAGGAGGTTGCCGCTCGGTGTTTACACGGAAACGATAACGGTGCCGTTTTCAAAAACTTGCACTTAGAAACGGTTTTTAAAAATATGCGTTTTCAGTCTCCAAAATGCTGTTGTCGTGTAAACGAACAGTCAAAACGCATAAAAAGTTTCCTGTTTTTGGCTGAAAATGTTGTCATGTAAACGGCCCCTTAGAGAACTGGGCATGAGCGTGGGCTAGATTACTAAACCCAAACACAAGTCAACGTGCAACCAAACACACAGCCACCCACACATGCTCAGTTTAAAGCTCTAGAAGAGCCTGGGCTGTTTTCTTATTTGGTGAGGGAAGAGGGGTATTCGCACAGCAAGCTCTTCTCCTCTTTTTTCACATTATGGCTTCTCTGCGAAGATGATATTCAGTCAAACTTGTGCCCAATGTGCTCCATTTCATTTGACATCAAGCTCAGCGAAAGACCAGCCAAATTCAACACTAAAGTCATCACAGAAAAATTACCCATTTTACTTTATTTCCCTCTGATTTCCGTCTCTCTCTACACGTTTACTGCTAGTAAACATAGTAGACAGGCAGGAGAGTCTGTTTTATGAAATAATGAATAAACTACATCTCGTATTCTCATCAAGGTATCATTTAACATTAATATTGTGATATTATTGAAATTTAAAAGAACTGTTTTCTATTGAAATATATTTTAAAATGAAATTTACTCCTGTGATCAAAGCTGAATTTTCAGTATCATTACTCCAGTCTTCAGTGTCACATGATCCTTCAGAAATCATTCTAATATGCTGATTTGCTGCTCAAGAAACATTTCTTATATTATCAATGTTGAAAACAGTTGTTTAATATTTTTGTGGAAACCATGATACATTATTTTCAGGATTCTTTAATGAATAGAAAGTTCAGAAGAACAGCATTTATTGGAAATAGAAATATTTTGTAACATTATACATGTCTTTACTGTCACTTTTAAACAATTTAATGCATCCTTGCGGAATAAAAGTATTAATTTCTTTATCATAAAAATAATCTTTTCAAGGATAGTGTATTATTATACAACTATTTCAATCGGATGGCACCAGCCTTTGGCATTTCATCAGTGATTTCAACACGGAGACTTTGAGCGCATGGATTAATATTCATATTTAGCACTGACTTTAGTGCTCTGTATAAACGCTGAATAATTATAAGCTCTGGCAGGCCTTACAGCTTCATCAATTCGTGAACTGAAAACATATGGGGTCTGAGTGGAGGATGAGTATTTTTCAAACCAAATATCACAGGAGAACCTGCCTATGAACATAGACGCTTAACGAGGATGAATGTCTCATTAAATTTTTCTCAGCTGAATTATGTAACCTCAGCCCATTAATTACCGATATTGTTAGATCTCCAAAACATTCTGGGTTTAGTTTATTTTACAATGAACAATAAATATGAAAATCCCTAATTTTGCAAATGCTTTAACCATTTGCTGAAAACCAACATGGCAACCCTGCTACTGACATGCACATCATGCGGATTGCCAAAACGGACAGTGGAAGTCCATGCTCATTTTAATTGTGATGAGCTTATCATATCATACACATAAAAGGAAAAAGGTGACAGATGAGAGGGGTTGATTTCAGTGCATTGAACATTTAACCATTCACACAACTGTGAGAATGAAGTCAGTATGGGATCTTTGCTCTAAATCAAGGCCAAAGATAACACTAATGTTTACGTAAGTGTTAATGTATTGCTATAATCTGCTGGTGCAATGTATTGTCTGCATGTTCTTATTTATTTCAGTGATGGATGTGACAAATGCTCCTATTATTTTTAATTTCAAGCAGTGCGTGAGTCCATTACATTGAAAAGTCTATCTATGCACTTTGTTCAGAGAGAAAACATGTTTTTGAAATATCCAAGAAATGATTCAGATGTGATTAATTCTTGCAGGGTACAACTGGACAGTACAGATGAACAGGAAACTCAAGGGAAGAAATACGGTTTTGTCGTTTGTGACCTCCTGCCTTGAGCGGCGGGCGACAAACATGTACCTAAGGTATGCCGAAACCTTAGACATCTTTGCAAAAGCTCTGGAGTGCAGTGAAGCAGTGGTGTAAACCAAAACAAAGAAGAAAACATCAAAGCACATACAAATAGGCAAGGAGAGAAAAGAGACAGAGAGACCGTGGGAAAGACAGAGCAGAAAACAAAGTTAGCAGTGAATGAGCTGCATAATACATGGAGCTTAACAAGAACTTCCTCCTGAGAATGTCTAATGCACAGGCATCATCGCAAGTGTGTCTTAACGATCCTATACGAGAAATAAACCGAGATGAAGGATACAGCAAGAAAAAAGAAAGAATGAGGGATATGAAGAGATAGAGTGAGAGACAGAAAGAGAGAGGGAGAGGAGTAAACCAGTGTCTCCAACTACAGCATGGTGAGGAGAAACTATTAGGAGAGAAGATGAGCAATGCGAGAAGTATTAGAGAGCACAGAAAATGAGCGGTGTCATGATGAGCAATAGAGTTCATCTCTCATTTGATGAACATGAATAATATTCAGGAGGAATATGACTGGAATCAGTGTGCTCAACTAAGTGAAATATATTGTAGGCTCAGCCTCATTCGAATCATCTAATGTATAATGCATACAAAAATATAGCAAGAACTGGCTGAAAACATCAGTCTCTATCTGATTGGCTGGCTTTATGAAATTCTTTTTTTGCAATCCTTTTTTTTGTATACATTTCCTTTTTCCAATTCAGTTATTGGTTTTTTTTTAAATATTTTTTTTACATTTTTTTTCTGACATGTTGGTTTTAAATCTTTCACTTGGATGTTATAAGTTGCACTGAGTAAATACAGCTGGATAAAACAAAAACTGTGTCCATCTTCATTTCAGGCTGCAAAGCAACAGAATGTGATTATTTTAAAGGGGGGTGATTCTTTTCTATACCCACTGTAGTGGTGAAAATCCTTTATTCCAATACTTCAGTTGGTGCCATTTCATAATTCTAATGACTTTACTATTATTCTAAAATGCTGAATGTAAAAATAATGAAAATGTAGGTGTCCAAATATTTAACTAGTAGTGTCAGTCTGCCAGAAAGCAAATATACAGCTGCTAAAATCATTGCTAGGAAGAACTAGTCAAAGGTGTGACAAAAATAGCAATGTTAATGTTTTGCTTGAGACAAAAAAGAAAAGAAAATATTCTTGAGCAAATATTCTTTTGTCTGATTTCAGATTTATCTTCCAGAATTACATTTAAATGTCACACAAAAACGCGGTTGGTCACTTTATAGCCCTTCTCTGGACAGTTCTTGGCCAGATTGAGATGAATGTCGGCCAGATTTTCACAAGACTATATAAATTCTGACTGTTTGAGAGTAATGGCAGCTGACGTGCTGCCATACACAGAGAGGTCAGAAACGCACAATACACTGATGGAAAAAGCTCAAAACTATCATCATGAATCATCATTCATTGGCCATTTGCGTTTTGTGGTTTTACCTGATTCTGACAGGGAATTCGTCCTCATTCCGGGCTCCTTCTCCAGCTGAATTTCTTGAAGTGCAAATATTGATATAGCTGGCAGGGAGAAATTGAACAATTATGTTAACATGCTGAACTAAAACTAAGGGCTGATATATAACACTAAGGGTCAGAGAATTTGTGCAAGATTATTTCAGCACACACGAACTTTCAGTGCAAATACAGAATAGCTCACAGCGGCACGGTGGAATTAAATGTCTTTCAAAGTAAAGTGTGTGTATGTGTGAGACTTCTGTCTGGCACTTTAATAATTCTATCTCTCAGTGTGAGGTGTGTGTGCGCGCGTGCATCGGTTATCTGGCACCCTCATAAATCTCCTCGGTGGAAGGAGATGCGTGTGTGTGTGTGTGTGTGTGTGTGTGAACTCACTGTCTGGCAGTGTGAGAATTCTCTCTCCCAGGCAGTGGAAGTATTGGTGTCTCATGGCTTCCTCTGCTGCGATCCGTTTCTTCCCCTCAAACTGAAACAAAGTTCATTGTTAGTCAAGCACACATGGAAAACACTCACTAACCAACTAACTAAAAACACAATATTATTATACACTATTATTCAAAAGTTTGGGGTAGTAATTAATTTTTTTAAGCATTTAAAATTAATATTTTAAATATTTTTTTTTCAGCAGGGATGCATTAAATGGATCAAAAGTGACAGTGAAAGACATTTATGAGACATTGTTACAACAGATTTCCATTTCAAATAAATGCTGTTCTTAAGAACTTTCTATTCATCAAAGATTCCAGAAAAAAGTTATATCGCTTTCCACAAAAATATTAAGCAGCACAACTCTTTTCAACATTGATAATAATAAGAAATGTTTCAAATCAGCATATTAGAATGATTTCTGAAAGAGCATGTGAAAGTGAAGACTGGAATAATGATGCTGAATATTCAGCTTTGCATAAAAGGAATAAATTACATTTTAACATATGGAAAACAGTAATTTTAAATGGTAAAAAATATTTCATAATATTAGTGTTTGTACTGTATTTTTGATCAAATAAACACAGCTTCATTTCACAACTCAAAACTTTTGAACTGTAGTACATAAGGCAAGTTACCAAAACACACATTTTTATAATTCAACATGAAATTATAATGGTAGCCTAACAACGTTAATAGCTATTTGGTTGCTGAATAAAACTATAAAATTTATGAAAAGTTGTTTCAGATGGTGCAAATAACTATTACAAAGAAAACCACAAAGACAAATTTTTTTTTTTTTGTTATAGCCCACGCTGATGAATTAACCAGCAACGTGCACTGAAGTGAATTACATTTTAACATATGGAAAACAGTAATTTTAAATGGTAAAAAATATTTCATAATATTAGTGTTTGTACTGTATTTTTGATCAAATAAACACAGCTTCATTTCACAACTCAAAACTTTTGAACTGTAGTACATAAGGCAAGTTACCAAAACACACATTTTTATAATTCAACATGAAATTATAATGGTAGCCTAACAACGTTAATAGCTATTTGGTTGCTGAATAAAACTATAAAATTTATGAAAAGTTGTTTCAGATGGTGCAAATAACTATTACAAAGAAAACCACAAAGACAAATATTTTTTTTTTGTTATAGCACACGCTGATGAATTAACCAGCAACGTGTACTGAAGTGAATTACTGTATACAGACAAATAAATATTCAGACAGCTGAACTCTGGAAAGAGAACAGCCATATATAAAAGTGTCACTTTTCAAAGTCATTATTAAAATACTTCCTCTTATCCCTGCCTAATGAGGATATCATACTGTAAGCAATGCTTACATAGGCGTGATTTCCAGAAAAGTGCAAATTCTATGGCCCAAACACAAGCATCCCAACCAGTGGGTTCTTGCGTTTGAGGTGGGACCATCTTCAACTTTAACATTTCTATTTAAATTAAACTGACTGTTGCTTGCTGTAGAGCTGCTTAATGACACTAATAATGACACTACTGTCCTTTTTTCAGCTGCTTTAGAGCAGAATTTGTCACATATTTGAAGTTTACATCATTGCCTCTGTTATTTTTAACCTGTGAAGCTGCTTTGAAACAGTCTGTATTATATAGACCGCTATTTAAGTAAAGGTGACTTTAGTGGACTAAATAATACACAAATCACCTGCAGCAGTTTCGACAGAAGTTCAACTCCATCATTGTCCAATCTGCAAGAAAAAAATAATGCACTTCAGTAAATGACCTCCAACAGCGTGTCGTTTTTTTACAGCAGGGGCAGTGATTGTTTCAGGCATCAGGCCCAGAGGACAGCTGTCGTTACCGTGGAGTGTGATTGTGGAGACAGTCGGCGCGGTAACGGGGGTAGTTATAGGAGATGAACTCCTCGTTGGAGGTTATTCCGGGCCAGGTCTCCTCTGTGGGCGTACCTATGAAAAGACACTGCAGGGTTTATAAATATCACAGTGACACACGGAGACAAACTGTCAGATCTAGAGCCAGAAAGAGCAGAGTGGGAGAGAAGGAGAGAGTGGGTGAGAGCGGTACCGAGCAGTTTGAAGATAAAGTGCAGCTCCTCCTCCACCGTGGAGCCCGGGAACAAGGGTCGACCTGTAGACATCTCGTAGAAGATACAGCCAACACCCCTGCAATGAGAGTCATTAAAACTCAATTCAAGTTCACCCCCACAGAAGCTATGACATAAGAGTGTGCGCCAATTTTACCACAGTAAAAACAAGAGTCTAATTATTAGCTCACTATTTGAATCGACAGCACCATGGAACAAGAAATAATTTAGAGGTGAGAGCTTGCAATCTGAACTGAATAAACAAGGTAGAAGTGTTTACAGAAAAAAAAGTCTTTTTAATTGCAACATGTTACTTTATTATTATTTGCATACTATTATAATATGTATTAATACTTTGAATTTTCATTTTATTTTTAGTAATTTTTTTATGCACTTGTCATTTTTATTAGTTTTTAATATTTCTATTTAGATTTAATAAATTTTTATTTCAGTTGTAGTTTTAGTAATTTTAGTACTTCAGCTTAAACATATTTCAGTTACTTGCCAAAGCAAAGTATCTAATTTTTTCATGGAAAATTCATTTTGCTATTGCCGCCATGCATGTCATGTCTTATGCGTTCTTCAAAAGCTGTGTCAAGTTAAAAGAAGTTCAAAACCGTGTCTTTGACATCTGCTGCACTACGTCTAGCTGCTTCTAAATGCAAGAACGCATGCTGTAACACATGCCGCACATGGCAGCAAAAGCAATATAAAACCCCCCTGAATTTTCAATTTAAATAAAATAATAAATTAAAATAATAGCAATTCAGTTAAAAACAAAAAATAACTAGTGTTAATCAGCAGTGTTGTTAACTAAAACTACAACTATTAAAAACTGTTTTTGGTAATTAAAATAGAGTTAAAATAGAATACTCTATAAATATTAGATAAAAACTTCAGCTCAAAATACTTAGATGGAAACTAGAAATGTTGCCTTGGCAACTAATTAAAAAAAGTCTAAGTTGAAGTACTAAAACTACTACAACTAAAACCTGAAATAAAAACATTTATTAAAGCTATATTGAAATATTAAAAAAAAATTAAATGACAAAGCACTTAGCAAAATTACTAAACAAATTATTAATAAATACTACAATATTATATAAAAATACTCAAATAACACTGATACCACAAATAAACCAAGTAAGATATATCATCAGGTGGATGCTCACCACATGTCAATCTGAGTGGAATAGTCTGTGCTGCCCAATAGGATGTCAGGGGGGCGGTACCAGAGCGTCACCACCTCATTGGAGTAGGTCTTGGTGGGAATCGACTTTGCTCGTGCCAGACCTGAAGACCAAACAAAAAGCAAATTTAAAAGCAGTTTGGCCAGTTTCAGCAAGCTTTGTAGATCTTCACAACATATTACACATCAACTCCACATTAGCCCTGCCAGAAGTTTAGTACACTAGATTATTTTAGCCAAAGCAACAGTACATTTACAGTACAATTATTACAGAGACAATGCAACTAGAGTAACTTGAGGATACGTTTTTCAAGTAGGTAAGCGGGCAGCTGGCTTTCATTAACCTCTAGGCTACACCACCCACACCATGAGAAAATAGTGAGAGTAAAGATGAGTGTTGTATTTAAAAGAAAAGATGACGTTTGTATGTTACAGACCGAAATCAGCCAGCTTTAGCTCCCCGCGGTCGTTGATCAGAAGATTTTGGGGCTTGAGGTCTCGGTGAAGGACTTTACGTCTGTGACAGTAGTTCAGACCTCGCAACAGCTGAAACAGGAACAGCTGAGATGGAAAAAAACACACAGGTGAATAAGAAGAACACCGTATATGATTGCAATGTGGAGCAGAACGATTATGAGAAACAGAAAATGAAAGACATTTGTCAAAGATGCCTTACCTTGACATTGTGCATATGAATGCAGTTTCCACAGTCATCTAGGTACTGTTTCAGGTCTTTATCCTAGGAGATAAAGGAAGTCATCAAAGTAATAGATGAATAACAAAACTTATATTATATAAAACTTATGTAACTTATATAAAACTTATATTCTCGTGAGCAGGGATTCACTAACTTTTTTTTTGTAGCCAAACCCTCTAAAAGTTATTAAGATTTACTTCATATTTTTTAAATGAACAATTAACAACACATTCACATGTTCTCAGATGTTGGTTAATTGTTACATGACATGCAGGTCAACAAAAAAATATTTATTTAAAAATATTTATTTGAATTCTAAATTGAATGATTTATTTATTAGCTTTTCATTTAGCTTTGACATTGTCGTCAATTTAAGAGCCCTGTTTTAGTGCCACATAAATCTGCTCTATAACTTAATTTTAAGCTATTATGTCGATAGATATGCCATCCATAAATAATTTCAATTTAATTAACTACATTTGTTTGGACAAGAGCAATTTTACTGTACTTTAACTACTTCAAATTATGAGCAGTATGCAACTTGGCAAGCTACGGTTTCCAAATAGCTTCTCCACTGTTGGGGTGTGGATGACTGCGTGTGAGATCATAAGTACAGTTAAAAAGTGAACAGAGTGCAGTGAAATACTGCACATGTGAGTGACTCACCAAGTACTCGAACACAAGTGTAAGAGACTTCTGAGTGTGGATGATGTCATGAAGAGTCACAATATTGGCGTGTTTCAGGTCCTTCAGCAGAGACACTACAGAGACACAGAAATAGACAGATTATTCCTCAAACACGTGACCTCTGGTACTTCACACGCCTTTATGAATATTCACTAAATGACAAGTACAAATGACAAGCTAGACAAAGTTAGCCTCAAGCAAACATTACTGCAAAAATAGTTGCAAAATATAATTTTTTCCCCAAACGAAATCGACCTTAAACACACTTTTGCTACTGTACCTTTAACAGCCCTCTACGAACACCTTGGCAATTGAATCGCCATTGGCTAGTAAATTTTTTAGTTTACTCACCAAACTGATAAATAAATATATATATGTTTGTTTGTAAAATGGCACAGTTTTATAAATATCTGAAAATACACTCTTAACATCAGTCAGTCAAGCATTATAATATGATAATCAATATTATTTAATGATAGAACTTTAGTAATTAGAATTAAAACTTGATAACCATGTATGAATGCATATTAGTCATTTTAACTGAACTTCGGACTGGTGGTGGTGCTTTTTTGGTGAGCGCCAGCCAATGAGATTGCCGTTTGCGCATTAGTTCCGCCCACTACCGGAGAAAGCAGTAGTTCTTAAAAGCTGAAGAATTCCAAAGGCACGCCGTTATTTTGACAGCAAAATACAACAAAGAATATCGTTTACATATAGCGCGTATAGGTAGCGCGTAAATTCTCTCTCTCCCTCTCTCTCTGCGTGTGTGTAAAACAAAGCGACGGCGAGTCGTGCGCCTTCACACTAGAGTTTACGGTACGTTAAATACAGGTGCGTTGCACATCCATTCAGATGAACTGAAAAACAGCACAGATCGCTTGGCGGAGAGTGAAACTGATGCGCTCAGTCAGAGAGTGTTCGGCGAGTGAAAATATATCTGAGCTAAACTTATACTTAGCCTTCAACTCACACATTGGCGAGTAAAATCTGAGAATTTATTAGCCATTGGCTAATATTAGACATCATTTAGTCGCCCAGAGTGAAGATTTAGTCGCATATGCGAGTGATTTACTCGCAATGTAGAGGGTTGCTTTAAGATTTTGATATGTAAATGATCTTAGTTATGGTTTGCTAACCGGACGTTTTTGCAGTTTAGTTTCCATAAATGGTCAGGGTGGGCTGGGGAGGAAGCTTTGTGTGAACTTTTTGCAAATAAGCCCTGTTTTCCATATTATAAAACCCTTTTAACCAGCTGAATTACCCTGTAACAAAAGCCACTGATAGAGATTTAGAGATTAACTGGCTAATTTAGAACATCCCAAATTGTCTGTCATTGTGCAAGCATGTGGGAAATTTGGGGCAGTAGTTTGGTAATCTAATTTTAGTGCTGATCTACTACGGCATGCTTGTAACTCACCTTCTCTAATGGCAGTGCATGGAGCTCCTTCCTCGTGCTCCAAACGGATTTCCTTCAGAGCCACCAGATTATCCGTCAACTTACTGCGGCCCTTATATACTGTAGCGTAGGTGCCCTGAGAAAGAAAAAGATGACAATGCACAGTAACATGACTATGGTGCTTTAAAATGCTGTTTTGGATCAGAGCTACTATCTAAAAATCGTCTGTGAAGTTACCTCTCCTAGTTTATCCAGTTTCACGTATGTCTCCAACTTCCCAAATCCGATCTCAGACTGCAAACACACAAAGACAAAAACTATGTCACAACATGGTCCTAAAAAGCAGCGCTTAACACGGGGATACAGGGCAGAAAATTTCAAAGGCATTCATGTGAACTCATTAGAATACACCCAAATCACACTGCTCCCGTTTCAGACGGCTGGGCTGGTCGCAGAGGTTTATATAACACACAGAGACAACATGAGCTAAAATATCCCTCCCCAAAATAAATTGGGAACAATTGAAGTGTAACAAATGAAGTGTTTAAACGCATCACAGATCAAGCGTGTGTCAACAGCACTGAATAAACATCACGGTCTGGGTTTATAGCTCATATCAAGGGCAGCTGAACTTGTAGTATATCATAATTAATTAAAAACATGATTTTGACATTCTGTCAAGAATACTGTTCAGAACATGTCCGGATCATATCTCGCCCCAATATAACTTATTTAGGACTCTATTTTGCATTGTGACTTTATTTACAGAAAAATCCAATTATTCCCCTTTCAAATTCTCAGTAACTTAATGTGGGGAAAAAAATCAGGATATCCAAAATAATCATATATGATTTTATTAAGCAAGGACTAATTGCCTAATCTTTCTTGTACTGAATTTAATTTGTTGATTTAAAATTTTAAAAGTTTGTATTTTGTATTGCTGTCTATATGTGCGTATACAGTATCTATACGTGCTTAATTGTCATGAATAACAATGTTATAATATAGAATAAAGTATAAATGCAAAAAAAAATAAAAATAATAATAATAATTGTATAATAAATAATAAAACTAGGCTTCAATTTCTTTATGCAAAATAGAGTTGGTGTGTTCCCTTTTTATTTTTGGGGTGAAATATGACCTGGCCATTTCTTTGTGAGGCTCACTCATTTTCCTGTGACACTGCGTGACACTAATATTTTGAGAATGGTTTTAGCAGCGAGACACGCCGTTAAAGTTTGTCTTGTCTATGCGTTCACAACGATTTCAAAGCACTGATAATGTGACGCTGGAACAAACAAGACAAGTGAAGGAGAAGAGAAAAGACTCAAAGACTCAAAGAGAGAGAGTGACGGAGAATGAAAGAACGAGCAAAAGAACTGGTTGCAAAAGAAAACAAAGACAGAAAAAGGAGGGCATGAGTCTAAAAGTGCAAGTCCAAATTAAAATATCATAAATAAGTAAATAAAATAAAATAAATAACTTTATATGATTTTACGCCAGCATCAAAGGCTATATTTATGGCAAACTCAAGATTAAAAACAAAACAAAAAAAAGCCTTAATAAAAGTAATTGTAATAATAATACAATAATACAAGAACAATAATTTAATAATACTGTTCATAATTAATAATATTATTATTATAATAATATTTTTTACAAACAAAAATAAAATTAGATTTAAACAAAAATGATATACAATCTTTCAATTTGATATTTGAAAAAAAAATCTAATATTTTCTTAGAGGAAACTTTTTTTTTTTTTTAAATGGCCATTATTGTAATTTCTGATTCTGAGTAAAATCGTTTCATTTTACTTTTACAGCAAGATACACACACACACACACACACACACACACACACACATATATACATATATATAAATCACATACAGGCAATTGTTCTCCTTTAAATAAATATGACCAATTCTATGTCTTGTATATAGTCTGGTCATTTCTATTTTCTATTTCTATCTTTCATTTATAACTGAATTCACTTTGTATAATTAGTTATGGATACATTCTATCATATTAAATTATATTACATTTTTTAGACTAGTATGATATGGGCCACACTGAAAAGGTGAACAACCTCACAAAATATTGGATATTGGAAACAAATGGAGAGGCATTACCAGCGATACCCTGCGTAATCTCCGGCTGAGCGGTTTGTCAAACAGGGGGCTGTTGAGGTTGAATTTCTCCAGGTAGCCATCAGGAAGCCTGATATCGGCAGGCAGAGACAGACGTTTGTTTATGTCCTGAGAGGGAAGGAGCAGGGCGAAAACCATTATTAGTTAAGGCCTAAAGGTTTCGTTACACTACATAAAAGTAATAACCCATCTGGCCCGCAGGCTAGTCATCTAACTGATGGGTACCATGCTGTGGAGCATTTTCAGTAACCACAATGCACCATTAGTCACACGCAACTGATGTACCTTCAATAGCAACAAACAAGCTAATGGTTATTACATGGTACACGGTTTAATTCAAGCAAACAAAACAAAAACAAAGGTAAGCCATGGAAAATGGCATGTTTTTATTACCCAACACGTCATGTATTATTCAGTGTCCCACTCTAAAAATAGTGACTAGAAAAAAAGTAATGCATGGTCAGAAACGTGAACATACCTCTGTGGAAATTTTGCGACCAGGGTTGTTTCTCAGACGAACTCGGACGGGACTGTGTACCTCATCAGAGGATGTGGCCGAAGCCTGATCGCTTTCTCCATCTGAACCCATTTTTACATCCTCATGGACGATTTCTGCATTTACGGACACAACCACACACACACAAAAACATTTGCATGCTATGTTGACGTCACTATTCCGATGATACTGGTAAAACGTATTGAATAAATCAAATTCGATGTTTCTAAATGTCTTTCCACCACGTCATTATTCTATTTTAAAACCAAAGTAATGCTGATTTATCATCTGTGAGCCTGAACACTCTCCAAATGCATCTCTTGCACATTTATCTGTCTGTCTCTGATGCATTTATATGACTCGGAGATTCATACCACACTACAGCTGGGGAACTACTTAGCTGCTCTGAAAAAAGAGATCCGTCTCGTACCCACACAAAAGGAAAAAAATAGAAGTCATTATCTTCCACTCATTTATTCACTCGCTGTCCCATCCCCCCCATTAAACCATAACACAACCTCCCACCCCCTCTCACTCCACACACACACACACACGCACTCTGCCTGTCTATCTGTGTATAACAGTGCAGTGGTTCTCAACCGATTTTGTTTCAGGATTCAGATTTTATATTAGACATCTAGAAGTGACCCAGGCAAAACATAATTATTAGTTGCACAAAATTAAACAAAAATGTCCTAAAAAAATAAAACACTGAAATGCAAAATGATTAACAACTACTAGATAGGAAAAATTTGTCACCTTTAATAGTTTTATGCTCTTGGCAGCCTATATAACTGATGTAGTTTAGGTATTTTCTTTTACCTTGCATGAATTTTATGGGCATGTAAACCTATTTATGTAGTCTGGCTTTTATGTGGTGTCTTATAATCAATTCTATGATTTATAATCCGATATAAAGCAACTTTCCATGCTTGAATCCATCTAATTAGTTATGTCAATTTAATTATGTCACTAACAAGTGACATTGGTAAAAATATTGTAGTGTCTCTTTGGAAACATGGCCTTCAACAACAAAAGATATGGGAAATGTTTATTTCTCCCTCTCTTGATAAGCAGACTTATTTTGCTATCCTACTTATGTATTATTACACAGTTAGCTGCATTTTATCATCTGCATTTAACAGTTTTTCCCTGGGTTGCAATCCGCCAATTGAGAACCACTGTAATAGTGCATGCGTGTATGCTACATTCACGAGAGTCCAAGTTGTTCAGTAGGGTTGGGAATCAAGAACTGCTTTCTTTTTTGTTAGAAAACATAACCGAATAATTTTATGACATTCAGTTTCGCTAACAGTCCTGAAACTTCTGCATTCTTACATCAATGTGAACATAACTCCTAAAAAATAAGAAATATAAGCTTATTTTCATTTAACATTCCATTTACGCAAGTGCTTCTTGAATTAAAAAGTCTGTGTAAACGCAACTTTTCCGGATACATATGCTGTTTTGCAGACGTCAATTGTATGAGATCATTTCAGCAGAACAGTAATAACAGATCAGAAGCAACTGCACAATCAGAAACAAGTATACAATTCTGGAAAAAACATTATTGTATCTTTGTTGTCTTTATCCCTCTTAAACCCACTTTGGATCCAGCAGATTATGGGTTTAAAGGAATAGTTCACCCACAAATTTAAATTCTGTCATCATTTACTCACCTTCAAGTTATTCCAAACCTGTATGAATTTCTTTCTTCTGCTAAACACAAAAGATTATATTTTGAAGAATGTGGGTAACCAAACAGTTTCTGGTCCCTACTGACTTTTTTGTCCAATTAATGGAAGTTAATGGGGACCAGCAACGATTTGGTTACACATATTCTTTAAAATATCTTCATTTGAAGCAGATAAAAGAAAGTCATACAGATTTGGAACAACTTGAGCTTGAGTAAATGATGACAGGAATTTGATTTTTGGGTGCACTATTCCTTTACAAGAAAAAAAAGGCAGAGAAGTTGCTTTGTCATTACTGTTCTGCTAAAATTACCTCATTGTTTGACAACAGGCCTTTAAGGGAAGTGAATGCAATAACAATCATTAAAGGTGGGGTAAGCGATTTCTTGTAGCCAATGTTGACATTTAAAAATTACTAAAACATACATGCCCCTACCCCTATTTTGATAGCTCCGCCCCACACATACGTACACAACCCAGGCAACGATTAGTTCTGTGAAACAAAGGCAACGATTAGTTCTGAGAAACAAAGCAAAACCCATGTTACACCGTGTCTACACCGAACGCGAGTGGTGCGGCGCGACAAAATACTATAGAACTCATTATAATCAGTGATGCTGTCTACACCATAGATATATATACATATCTATGGTCTACACTGGATGCGGCACGTCACGACAAATCCCCGAATGCTGAAGGAACCCCCCGAACCTCTCACTGAACCCCGCAGACCACCACTGCCGCCAACTGGCATGGCCTCTGGGAGGGAGGAGAGGGGAGGAGGATGATACACAGAGGAAATGAGGAGGAGGAGAAGGGGGGAAGGGCAGAGAAGGAGCCGGGAAGGAGAATGTAAATGTGGCGGAACACATAATGGAATTGAGCATTATGGGTAGGGAAAAGTAAAAGGAGCAGAAGTGTATAGAAAAAGGGGTGGTTAAAGAAGATTAGTGTATTATGGAGATGTAAAGAAAAGAAGAAGTGGTTGGGAATGAGTGATATGGTTCGGATGAAATGGTAATGTCGGGTAGCAAGTGTTTGTGATTAACAGAGAAGAAGGAAAAGGGAGAAAAACAAGGTTTGGGGGAAGGTCACAGGACGAGAAGAAAAAAAAGAGGAAATATTAAATTAAAAACAGAAAGAGTCAAATTTTAGAGCATGCATTCATTTTTCCAAAATGGTTATTTAAAAAAAAGCGAGATCAATTTACAAATAACATCTTCAGTGTTAGTGAATGAGGTACAAGGGCCACAATTATTAAGGAACGACACTGATAAACTCTTTTTCTCGCTGCCGGTAATTGTTTCTAATGATGCTCTACACTGGCGGCGATTAAAACGACACACGAGGGCATCGATTCATCAGCATATGAAAGCCAAATGCATTTTAAATTTGTGCAGGGTTTGGAGAAACGCCAAAACACGCTACAAAAGAATGAGATGGATTTACGGAGTCAATATGATGATGTATTCGCATATGGTAATTAGAATATATAACATGTACATATATATTATTGACTTGGGTGAGACGGTTATGGAGAAGCTGTTTTGTTGAAACTGTCGGATCTGAGATGAGCAGGATCTGTCAGTGCAGTTAGCTTGAGATGGGAAGCCATGCTAGAAAACAACATGCTGATTGGTCAGAGGGGGTAACAGCAGGCAGGAGACAGTAGCTTAGCTCAACGCACGCAGAGCCACAGCCAGGCCTTGGGTATAATGGACAGATTGGCTTTAAAATTCATTTAGATGTTTTAATGCAATGCTTTAATGCTGCATACCCGTATCACACTGACAGGCAACACGAAGGGAGGCAGAGGTGAATGTATATGCATTCAAAGACGAATGGCTGAAAGAGACTTTCTTAAAACCACATGGATTAAAGCACAGCCCTGAGCTTTCTGGTTGATTCTAAAGAATATCGGGAATATTAAAGTCAAAATCGACCACATTTACTTACTTTATAAATGTCTTGTAAGCTCTTCAGTGCAAGCTACTCGTATACACAAATTTGTTTTCATAATTCATCAAAATATAGCAACATTCTCCACCTACAAATATTTTTAGTTTCTGAAGGCATAATAACCTAATCCAATAAAATCCTGATGGATAAAATCATGTTATGCCCTACATAATTTCCTGCTGAATATTTTGTCACTTTAAAACACATCTGATTATGGAGGTTAAACACATAGCAAACGCAGTTGCCAGTTGTCATTAACACTTCCTTAAAGGGATAGTTCAAACAAAAATGGAAATTCTGCCATTATTTACGAACCGTAACGTTGCTTTTATATATATATATATCTCTTCTGAAGAACGCAGGGAACCAAACAACATTAAAGCCCAATGACTTCAACTAAAATGAAAAAAACTACTGAGATATTTCTCAAAATATCTTTCCTTATGTTCCACAGCAGACAAGGGTGAGAAAATGATGACAGAATTTTTATTTAGGGTGAAATATCCCTTTAAGAGAGATAGATTTTACACCTGTAACTCAGTAACAGAATTCAGTTTTTCTAAACAAAACAACACTATTTCTTGTAACATTTTTACAGAATTACCTAAAATAACATTTATAACAAAACCCCTTTGTATACTGTAGAGCATCTTAAAAAATACACACTGTTCTACAAACATAATTTGGTCATAAAGTGAACTGAGTTTTCTGTTGCATGCTGTCGGCAAAGAAAACACAATAGAAAGATGTGCTACTTTTTGTCTTATCGCAATTCAGATGGCAAGCTCACAACTCAGGTAAAATCTAATTTCTTTTACCATGGCTCGGTAGATTCAAATACAGCACCTCCACTGAACAATGAAAGGAAACACTGCAGTAAAGTAAAGAGGCACTGTATTAAATTTCACAGCTGCTCTGTTCCAAATTTACAGCATAGCTGAAGTAACAGCCACAGATCTGACATTAATCCATAAACATAAAGGAGGAAATTAGCAATTTAACTAAAACTACATATTTTACACTCAACATGCTGAGAATTACAGCCCTTAAAGTGGTCTTTTGACAGACTAAATGCTCTTTTTTTTTTTAAGTCTGGCCATTAACAACAATTCTGGCAACTTTCTGGCTGTCATTATATAAAAACCCTGGAACAGACTGTACAGATGGCGCTGAATTTGAGCTGTTTTTATCCCCTCCAGTAAGAATATTCTCACACGCACACACATACACGAACACATACACACTGGTTATGAGCATCAGAAATATTTCATGCCAGAGTTTTCATGCACGTCCCAATATTGGGAAGGAATGACTGGGACGAGCTAGAGATGAAATGTAATTATGTTGTAATGTTTGGTTAGATATGCTTAACCACACTAACTTTGATTAGTCATCATTAATCACATAAGTCGGCCAAGTTTGTACATTTTCTGCATCAATTGCATTTGTGGAATATGGCGGAATGGAGTTAAACATGATAAAATGTATTAAATGTAGTATTACAGCCTAAATATTTAATAAATCACGCAAGGGAAGACTTTTATGCATGAAAGCTGCAGAACGTTCAGTGGAATTCTGCGGATGCAGATTCCATGCAGGTTTACTGATAAACTAATAATGCAATCCACTATGGGCATTAGGGCTGCACGATCAATCAAAATAAAACTGAAACTGCGATATGGCTTAGTGCAATTATCAAATTGTGATTTAATTAAATAAATATAGGCACTGTATTCTTACACACAAGTGGCTCATTATCCACAGGTGTTTGCAGAGTTTCAGAGCAGCTTGGTTCGCAATAAATGCTGCTCCACACAAACTCCATCTCTGCTTCTGCTTTAGATCCTTTTAATGCGTCATCTTCACATATTTGTAACGAGAAGCGCTTATCAAAAAAAGAGATGGTTAAAAGCGATAGTTCACCTAAAAAAATAAACTTCTGTCATCACAAAAAAAAAGGTATTTTTGAAGAATGTTGGCAACCAAACAGTTGATGACAGTATGGGGAAAAAAATACTATGGAAGTCAATTGCTACCGTCAACTGTTTGTTTGCCAACATTCTTCAAAATATCTATGACAGAATTTTTTTTTTTTTTTGTGTGTGAACTGCCCCTTTAAGGGGCTCCATGTGGTTTTCTATCAAAATAAAAGTTTGATGGTTTAACATTGGGAAATAAAAAAAAATTAATAAGGAAATTAAGACATTAGCAGTTGTAATGTAAAATAAAATTATTATTATAATACTATTTTCTTTAAATACTCTTTTTTTTTATTTTAAAGTTAAAATATAACTATATAATTTTTATTTAAAGGGGTCATATGATGCAACTTCAAATTTTCCTTTCTCTTTGGAGTGTTACAAGCTGTTCGTGCATAGATAATATCCCTAAAGTTGCAAAGACTAAGGTCTCAAATATTCTTTATAAATGTTAAGACTTATCCACGTCCTCCTAAAACGCCTCGTTTAAACACG